CATGGCTCAGTTAGCATGCAAATCATTATTACAGTATGTTCTTTCCTTATAGCCTGCCCATTGCCTTTAACAAAATAACCTATCTCTTTCATTCCTTTTACAATATCTAATCAGTATTTTTTAAACCTGAGGGCAGGGATGGGTTTCAAATGGCACAGCCTGTAGCCCCCAAAGCTGTCAAGACCCCACCTCCTTTTCCCCACAGATCAGCTGGGTTGCTGGGAGAAAGATAGTGATTCCTAGCTTCTGTCCTGCTTTCCCTTTGCTTGTGGCTATGAAAGAGCCGATCTTAGCAGCCATCTCTGAAAGACAGAAATTTTTGCTTCTAGTTGGACCCTCCCACGCCCATCCACAACAATGTCTCCATCTCAGTGGGGATGGTAGGGAGATGTGGGGTGGGGAAGTGTTGAGGTGTACAGCAGGCCCACAACTTCCTGCATAGCCTTAGTGTCCTTCATGTATGAAGTGTGGGAAGGAGAGCCATGCCCTGAAAGGGGCAGCCCAGCTGCATGACCGACCCTACCTCTGGGGGCAATCCTGGCCCATGCTGCCCAAGCTGTTGCGCAGGCACCAAAGCAAGAGATGCTAGCCTTTCCCCGCTGCCCAGTCGGCAGCTCCATGGGAGAGGGCCTTGCTGCTTTGCCTCTGCCCTGTGCTGCCACAGTAATTGGTACTTACCAGTCTACCAGTTCTGATTCTGTGCACCGCCTTTCATGCTCTGAGGACCTGCAGCAGCTGTGCAGAAACGAAAGGGGGTGTGGGCAGGCAAGGGCAATACCTGGCAGATGGTATCCCATTCTGACTTGCTGAATCAGGCACAGGCAGAGACAGGCGGACTGTGTATTTTAGCTTTCAGATGATCTAACCAGGAGGTATAGTTTAGCTTTCTGATGATCTAACCACACCCCTCCCTGAAGTTTCCTAAGTGAAGCACCCCAGCAGGAGCAAACCACGGAATGCTTTCAAGTCTGTATTTAGTGTGGGAGAAATGAGATCAAGAGCAAGTTCCTTATCTTGCTGTGTTTGGATTCTGAACCAATGTGATTGGTGAGTGTTTTATTGTCACTTAGCAACCTGAAGTGCTTTGGCAACCTTGATGTTTGGGAAAGAAATTGTGTTGAGCTTTTGTTTCATTTTGTATTCTGGTGCCCTCCTTTCACTTTTTCTTTTCAGAGTACAATATCATGGAACTGCAAGGCTGTATGACGTGCTGGAGATCATCTTCATTAAGGATCATCCCCTAACAAAGGCATGATTCCCCGCACAGTAATGCTGCCCTCCATCATTGTATGACCCATTATTAAAATTTTATGTACTTAGAACAACAGAGTAATAGCCACTACCTGAGATGGCTTTAAAAATGGAATGGAATGGAATATTGTTCTGAGACTGTGAATACAGACACATATAGTGAACGAGCCCCATTCAGCTATAACATCAATTTATTCCTGAGAGTACCCTACCATATTATGAATGATAAACAGACAAGAAGCTTTCATGGATTTAAAATGTATCCAGTGCAGCTATGGTGTCATCCCACTTACAGAGAGTGTTAAAAAACACCCCTCATGCATTTCCTGGATCTTTTTGTTAGTTTATTTCTGTATGTGTGTATCTTATTTATAGCCCATCCTTTTTCTGCAAGGAAACAAAGGCAGCTTACACAATTCTCCTCCTCCTCTTCTGTTTTTTCATGTATGACTCAAAGTGATGATCTCCCCCATCATTTATGACCTTCTCACAAAGAATCCCCACATGCAATGAACTTTTCTGAACTGATATGACTCACTTTTTCTAATTCTCAGAATGCATTCGATATTCTCAAAGTCAAAACAGGAGAGAAAGTGAATGCACTGTTGGGAAACCAGCTTGTACACATGGAAGAGAAAATATATCGTCATAGAATGGAAAGCTGTGAATGTTCTAGGAACAGAAATATATGTAAACCCTGCAAAAGACTGCCATAAAGAGAATTACAAACATGTCAGGACACTCTTGAAGGCATTACTACACTGCAGCATCTATGCTGAAAAAGTGTAAACATTCCCTCTAAATAGACAGTATTGAACAGAGCATTAAAACTTCTGAGGGCTAGAGTCCAAGTCTGTGTAAACACATTGCCTCACCATACTTCCCATACTTTGGGGCACTCAAAAGGGTACAGCAGGCTACAAAATACAGACTTTTCTTATTTGCTCCTCACACCATTAGTTGCTGGGATCATGGAATAATTGCCCAACAGAGAGCTGTAACCAGCTCAGAGCTTGGCTTGTAATCTATGCAAAAGGCAACATAGATTTGCTGATAATAGCTCCACTGACTACATTGGCATTTGTAGGGACAGAAAATGGTGAGTCCCTGAGCCCTTGAATGACTATTGTTACTCTATTTGCATTTTCCTTTGACTCAAGATTTTGGAGAAATACAGGAAAAATGATTTTTTCAAGTCCATGGAGCCATAGACAGACACATCAACTTATATAACTAAGCTGTATGTGTTGCTGTATGATATTCTGAAAGCAGGGACAGGGCAGTTATTAGAAGCTCACAGAAGGGAAGCTTATTTTGGGACTGGCCCCTGCCATGGCACCTGCTCCAGTTGGTAAGGTTAGAGAAAACCATTCTGACTGCTCTGCTTGAAAGGAGGAACTTTCATGGAAGTAGCATGTGACACAAAACGGGCATATACATGTTATGACTCCAATCCCACCCTGTCCATCTGTGCACACCTCCTATGCTTTAAGAGTAGTAATCTACACCAGTAATCCAGCTCTGAACACATTGCACTATAATGGGAACTAGAGCTGGTGAGTGCAACCCAGGAAATAGCTGGAACTACCATTTCCAGAGTGGATCAAGCCAGCTGAGCTCCCAATCTGGACACCGTTGTTCCAGTTACATTTTGGTGGCACTAGCCAGCACTAATTAGTTGGGCTAGTGGATGTTGTTGCTAGCACTGCAGCAGTATTATATATTCCCTTTGGTCCCCTTCATGCATTTCATGAACCTTTTCAGATCCAGGACCAGCCGTCAGCCCAAACATGTTTCTGAGGACCCACTTCTTTTAATGTTGATATGGTGATAAATCAATGAAGTAGAGTTTTTGCTAGTGAAAATGCTTGCCAAAATAAGTCAGCATGATCCAAAGATATGGTAAAGAGAGAATGGAAGGAGCACTATGATTAGCATCTACAAATATCTGTGACTTAAGTGATGGAGCAAATTTGTTCACTGTTGGTCAAGACTGGTGGATAGGACCTGAACCAGTGGGTTCAGGAGAGGATTATGAGTGAAAATTAGGGATAAATCCCTGATGGTAGAAGCTGTGCAACAGGGGAACAGGCTGGCTCAAGACATGGTGGATTCGCCTATGGTGGAAGTTTTTAAACAGAGGCTGGATGACTACCTGTCAGGGATGCTGCAGCAACAGACTTCCTGCAGTCAGGGGGTTGGATTAGATTACCTTTGGGATCCCTTCTGCCTCTTTGATTCTGTGTTTACTCAGAAGGAAGCCCCTCTAGCTAAGATAGGTCTTACTTCCTAGAAAATGCATTTAGATGTATAGCCTTAGTCTTAAATCCAAGGACAAGCAACTTCCAGAGCAACCTCCATTTCATCAAATTATTGTGTTAGCTGTTCTAACTCTGTGCTCTACCATCTCAGCCTCCCACAATTCTTTTCACCCAATCTTGTTCTGAGGTGTTATCCAAGCTAGTGTGCCATGGTGCTTAGAGGGTTGGACTGGGTGAAAAGTCCCACTCAGCCATGAAGTTGACTGGGTGTCTTTGGGCTAGTCTCTGCTTAACCTGACCCACAGGGTTGGTTTTGACACAGAGAGGATAACCCTCGGGGTCTCTGAAAAGGTTAAAATGTGATAATACAGTAGAAATCAGAAATGAAAATGGTGGCTAAATAGAGAGACCTTGCAATGCCTGCAGCACTGGCACTGCAGCCGGACAAGGTCACTTGCGAGAGGGGAAAGCCTAGGACCCAAGCCAACAGCAGGCATGATTGGGTACTTGCCGAGGGCCCACATCCCAGCAGCAGTCCACAAACAAAACCCCTTTAGAGTTGCCTGTCCTCTTCATTCTTGCAACCCCCCTTGTCCACCTGCCTTTCTGCCCCCTACCATTGTGGGGAGAACACAGAGCAGTAGAAACTGCCCTTTACTTGCCCTCTGCCTGCCGAACAAGCAGCCTTAGCAGGGATGAGGTGCCATAGCAGCTGGTGAGAGTGGTGGTGAGGAAGCAGAAGCTGAGGGAAGGGGTCCACTGAGGCTGTCTCAAGGACCCGGAGCCGGCGCTAGGGGGGAGGGGCATCTAAGGCACTGGATTCTGGGCCCCCTCAAAGGTGATACCAACCCTGCCTGGCTACCAGGCTGCAAAGCCATTTACAAGAGAGCAAGCCCCACTGAATTGTGACTGGCTTCATGTCAGAGCAAAGGTGCACAGGACCAGGCTCCTCTTCCTTTCCAAGCAAGCAAGCCAGCAAGCGATGCGCTTGCATAACGCATAACGCATGCATCTCTATGCACAGATTTTCGGCCAGGTTGACCTCACTAACTCCCAAGTCCGCGACAATCACGCCAGCCCCGCCCACCCCTCTCGGTTGCAAAGGCCCCGCCCACTCTCTCCAGACGCCGGCGTTAGAAATAGCCGTCGAGTCCATTAGAACACACATGCTCGCACACACGGGGGGGAGAAAAAGAGGCACGGCGAGGGGGCAGAGAAAACTCCGTCTCATTGCCTCCTTCCCGTCTTTCGCTGAACCTGCTGTTCCTTGCACGCTATTTGGATTATGAGAGCGGGTTTCGAGCTAGGGAAAAGCGGCCGAAGATCATTGTCAAACGCAGGCTTTCCTCTTGTGCTCCCCTCCTTTTGCCGGTGAGGTTGGACGCGCCCGGCGGTCACGTCATCCATTGTTTACAAACCAACCGCAGCAGCAACAACAGCGTTTGAGCAGCGAGTGTGCTAGAAAGAGGGAGGGGAGGAGGACGGAGTCTCATTGGTAGTTGCAGACGCCGTCGCTGCGGTAGCAGCAGCAGCCGTCGCCGCACAAGCACCACCGGCAACAACAACAACAACGTGTGTGCCAAGTGGAGAGGAGCGAGCAACCAACTGGCTGCGATGCCTTGCCGGCGGCCGGGCGGGGAACGCTTCCTGCTTCTGGAGCGCGCCGCCGTGTCTTTGCAGAGCGGCCCCGTCGGGGCGAGCAGCGGCTCCAAAGAAGTGGACGCTTTGGTGGCCAAGCTGGGCGAGGTGCTGCAACTTAGCGCCCAGCACCGGGCGGCGGCGCCTGCCCCTCGCCTCCTCCCGAAGCACCACGGCCGGGACCGAGCGGCTCCTTACTCGTCGCCGAGAGGACTCGGCTTCCTAGCCTCGCTGCACCACCAGCGCTCGCCGCCGTCGCTGCTGCTGCTGCCTTCATCCTCGCCCCCCGCTCCGCCGGTCGCGGACCAGAAGGGCAGCCCTCGTGTCGCCAAACAGCTGTGCGGTCGGGGCTGGTTGCGGAGCGCGGCCCGGGCCGGAGGGAAGAAGAGGCAACCGCACCATCATCACCCTTTACTGCCTGCGGGCGACGAGGAAGAGGACGACGACGATCCGCACCGACTCCTGCAACAGCTCATCCTTTCGGGTAACCTCATCAAGGAAGCCGTCCGTCGATTGCAACTGGCGGCCACCGCGACAGCAGCCTCGACGGCGGCCGAGACTTCCGCCACGGGCTCTCCCGGCTCTGCCTCGTCCACCGGCAGCTGCTGCCACAGCAGTAGTGGCGAAGGAGACTCGGCTGCCGCCACAGCCTTCGCCGTCTCCTCTTTACAACCTCTGCCCTAGCCCCTTTGGGGTGCAGCCGGCCCCGCAGATCGCCGCCAGCCGCCCCCTCCCGTGAAGCCATGGGGAAGCGCATGAAAGAGACTTTGCATCGCCTACCTCCCCCCCCCCTTTACACACACATTAGGAGGATGGCGGGGGCGCAAACGCGATGGCGACAAGGCACGACTGCAAATCGCTCGAGAGGGATTATCGAGGCAACGCCATATACTTGAAGCAGACTCTTGTCTTATTTGTTATGACATTTAACGATTCTAGTTCTTTGTCGCTGGTGGCTACTAATGGAGCCACGGGTTGGGCTGCTACTTCCTCCCCCTCAAGAAGATCGTGGTGCTATGCAGCCCTGGACGGCTGCCCCTCCAGCCTACCCTTGAACAAGCAGCCGAGATGACCCCAATCTGCCTTCCGCGCTAGGATTTGTGCTCGCCGTCTGGACGCTAAACGCCCCACCTCCGTCGTGGCCAGCTCTGTATGGGGGAGCGCAAAAAGGGGCATCCCGTATGGCATTATCTAGCGTGCGGATTGTTTCCACGCACACGTTGATATGTGACTGGAGAGGGGTGAGCGGCCAGGCCGGGGGGGAGGGGATGTTTAATAATAAAGGCATGTCAAATGTTAGCATTGCACGGGAGAGAGAGAGTGTATGCTATCGAGCGCGAGTATAAATCCGTTTGAAGAGCTTCCGCCCTTCTCCCTCCTGCCAAGGTCACCCCCTTTTTGCCTCTCATCCGAGCTGTGTTTTGTTCTTGTTGTGTTCCCCAGGCGATTGGAAATTGTAATCCTACACCGGCTTGTTTTGACTGGGCTGTGGGCAAACCCTGTGTGTTTTGTAAGGGCTGGGAAGTCTCCTGAGGACGCGCACGCACGTTGCCGGATCCAAGTTGTTGTGCTTTTCCTCTCCTCTCCCCCCACCCCGCTTCTTTCCAAGAGCTCCTCCTCTCCCCGCAAACAGATTCTCAGAAAAGGGGTCATATTACAGCAGTCTTTCTAAGAAATCTCTCCCCACCGCCACCATAACGCACTCCCCTGCTCTGGTTACTGTCCTTGCCAGCCTAGCTAACTCTCTGGGGCTCTCCCCAGCTGAAGAGCATTAGGTTTGCCTCTGTTACCCCCTCTCTGGTTTCTGTACTGCCAGCCATTTCCTGCCCTCTAACACAGAAGAAAATAATTGTTGCCTCTGTTTCTGATTTGTCTCACTGGAACCATTTTCAAGAAGTCAGAATGACGTCCTGGAGGACTCCCCCCCCCCTCCTTGGAGCATTCATTATTTTTACGTAAATCTTTGTTTTCGGGCAATATGAAGCAGTTTTAAAATGTGAATATTAAAGCTGGGAAGCATCTGGCTGTAACAAAAGTGTACAGAGAGGCTGAGGATGAAGAGGCACACTGTTCACAAAAGGTAGCTAAAAATGAGCTTTCAAAAATAAAATACACAGAAAACCTCAATGGCTCAATCAGCAGAAGCAGCTGTTGACAAAATATATATTATATATATATACACTTCGTAGCGGAGTGTTGGAGTTGTGTTCCCGGTTTTCAGGGTTTGTCTTTAATATGTCTGTATTGAATAAACACGGTAGACTTTTATATGAAAAAAGAAATGAGGTCTTCTGTCTTCTTTGCATTCAAAAGGCTTAAGATACTCACTTGATGTCCATTTTTTCCTTACTGCTTTGAAGGCTGATCCCCCCCCACCCCCCCCCCCCCCAGTGTGATGCAGAGAGAGCTGATTACAAATTTGCTTAAGATCCAACTTGGTTGTTCCCTTTGTTTCCTGGCAAATATTCCTGAAGGCACAGAAGCCCTCTTGTGCATATTGTAGTATTGCTCTTAGAAGCTGCATGTTTATTGGGAACTGAAATACTGTAAGGGGTGTGTGTGTTTGTTGGAGGCTCCCTCTAAACCTGCCCCCACCCTTTCATATTTTGTGGCAAGAGGAAAGGGATTCCTTGCTGCAGGTCTTAACTGAGATACAATAATCTTGGATGCAGTCCAGAGCCACTGACATCAGGAGGTTGCTAGCTGATGTTTGTGAGAATTGCCTCCCTGAGATGCCAATTAAGCTAAGTATCTTCAGAACACTTACCACATAATTACAATAAGGCCTGCCTCTTTGCTATTCCACCACTTCTCTGTGTCCCAGTTTCAACCAAAATTTGTTTCTCTGTATGAGGTTGTGATCCTGTCAAAAAGAACATGGGAATCATTAAATCACAGCAATAAAATATCAGGAAAATTCTCTACCTGGCTCTCCAGTGCTCTGTAGCCAAGCTGGACCATATTAAGAGTGTATTAATAATAAAAGTAGTGTGCATGCTGGAGAAACGGCTTTTTGTTGCTGTTCAAACAAATGCTGCAGAAATGTAAGCCCTTCAGTTAGCATGAGATAATTGAAGGAAAAATACTGACCCTTACTCAGCAAATGAGTAATGGCTACATTTATTGTACAAAAGCAGTGGTGTGGAATGGCTGCTGCTACTGCTAAAATAAATGATGCCTCCATGTTCCTGTCAAACCTTTGATTTTCTAGTCAATGGCCATTGCATGTGCTAGCTCAGGTGAGAGCAGAGGGAATGTCTCCAGATGTTTTGGACTTCAATTTCCAGAAGCCCCTGCAAGACTGACCACCAGTGATTAGGAATGCTGGGAATTGAAGTCCCAACTGTTGGAAATATATTTTCTGCTCACCTTTGCCCTAGTTTTTTCTAGCCTTGTGACTCTGCCATGACAGTAATATATATAGAATTGACAGTTGATTACATGGTCCTTATCTGTACATGTTGGGACACTATTTTCATGGGTACACTGTAAACATTGACCACAATTGCAAAAGTGTTACTTTTTGTTTAAATGGGCAAACGTGTTAAGTGAATAGATTCTATTATACAATTCTTACTTTTTGTGTGCTCACAATAGATTCTTCTCATACCCAGCAGTGAATATGCAGGAAGAAAAGTTCTCTGAATTTGTAAAAGGAAAAGAAATCTGGTACAGGGCCTCCTCAGAAAGTAAATGAGTCACTGGGTACTTTACTCTTCCAAAAGGAGGCAACAGACTTCTTTTTAAAAGGGACTGGCAAAATGTCATCCAGGAAAGTCTGAGAAATTTATAACACAATCCTTTGCATGTTTAGACAGCATAAAGTTCTATAGCTTCCAATGTTCTCCAACCAGTCCTTTTGGCTGGGGACAGCTGAAAGTTGAAGGAATGTTTCATGCATGGGATTGTGCCCTTAATTTTTGTATCAGAAATTTTTGTATTTGTATAGTCTTGCAGGAGAAGACTATATATTTCAGTAGAACTGGGTTGGTTGTTCTTGGGGTGGGCAATCGGAAACTCTGCAGATGTTAGGGGCTACCATTTCTGTTTGCCCCAGCCAGCAGCAAGGTACTGTGGGAATTGTAGGCCAAAACCTCTAGAGGGCACCAGGTGGCATTATGAGGAAAAGTGGGATGGGACAAAGGAATCATTGAGATGAAGCCAACCTTTGTGCAGCCAGACTTCCTTGTCCTTTCTCTTAAAACATCGCAAATCTGATCCATAGAGTCCCAGCCCTGGAACAGATTTACAGTAGGAGTGAGCTGCAGTGTTTGCAGGCCCAGGTACACACCAGAGCCAAAGGTGGGGCAGATCTGGGTATAGTCACAGATTCAGTTGGAAACTCCACTGTGACTGATCCCAGTTTCGGGAGGCAGGGGTTAGAGTTAGGGTTTTTAGCTGGTTTTTCTGATTTTAGGGGCAAGAGGGATGCATAGGCAAGTTGTACAACCTCCTTTAATTTCCTACATCTCCTGTCCTCAAGTGTTTTTCTTCCAGGCAGGTGTATTTGCAGTACTGGAGTTTGGCAGAGGAGACAAGTGCCTGAAGGGAAAGACTGTGCCCCCTTTTCTGTTATAAACTGATTCTCTCCCCACCTGCACTTTTACTGGCTCTCCTATAAGATTGAGGCAGATAAGTGTTTACTTAAATCTGCTGTAGACACAGTTCAACCCTTATTAAACTAATTTTGTTGTTGCTTCATTTAAGGCAGACTTCTGAAGCTGTACTGCTAAGCAATTATATACTCCTTCCATATGCTCTAGAGAAATTCATCTTAAAATAGAATTTCCTAACTGCATACCCTACAACACATGTTTGGCTTACATCTGGCCTTTGGAGTGAATGTGAAAGGGAATCTGTTCCAAAATATAGGAACTACTGCACAAACATCCAAAGTTAAAGTGATTTTTCAAAATCTCATTTGTTCTCCATGTAACATGAAAGCAAATGTTATTCAGGGATGACTGTTCAAGCCAAGAATGACAAAGGTAAAATAAACAGAAAGGTTAGTGATCCCAAAAGTTTATGTTACATTCAAACATGTGTAGTGCAATGGAGCTTTTAGATTTTAGACAATCTAATCTTAATTTATTTGTTTTCCCTACCCAGCAAACATTCCCTGTGCTTTTAATGGATCACTTCAGCCATCTGGCATGTCCCTTTTCTTATGACAGCATTTATTAAAGGAATATTAATATATGTGAGAGACACCAAAATCCTCAACAGATAGAATACAAATGTGGGTATTTGCAACATATTGTGGAAAATTGCTTAAGCAAACAAAGCTATATAGGTATAGGGCTTCTTTCTGCCTAAATACGCATAGGATCACATCCTAAAATGCAAATATTATATCTCTTCAGTCTGAAATGAGTCAAATATTTGCTTTAATAATTGGCTAAGTTCTTTGCGTAATGATGCATTATCGACCTTTTCATTTAAGCTTTTTAAAAAGGCCTATGTAATTTAGTCCTCACTTCGAAATTCACTGCTCAGGAAAGTAAGCCCCCTGAGAATCTGTGAAACTGACTTCTGAGCAGCACGTACATACATTTTGGAAATGATAACCTTATTTATTGATTTCAGTAACTTGTTCACTGCCTTTCACAAACTCAAGGCACAGCCAGCCCTACCATTAGGTAAAGCAAGGCAGTGAATGAGGGGAGTTAGGATCAGGCAACAAATTGTTGCTGTATTTTTAATATTTGGGAGTTTGTGGGGTTTTCTGCCTGAACTATAAAAATGACTTGACCTGCCTTGGGCACTCTGCATTCTCACTTGTGTGGAGAGTGTTTTCTGTCTTGGCCTGCCCTGGCTCAAGTGGGCATACTGTACCCCACCCCCTGCAACACACAGAGACACACCATAGCAAGGAAAAACATACAACAGACCAAGAGTGGGGAGAGTCACTGCAGCAGACCCAGCGTCCCATCAGTTCCTGCAAAGTGCCCTCTGGTGAACCCTTCTTGCTCTGGTGGGACCTGGTGGGGAGCCACAGTACCCAGCATGAGCACAGAGTGGCTGAGAACCATTTAAATTGTCCTCAATGACCCGAACACAATGTCACTCTGTGGCACTGCAGGAAATTAGAATGAAAGCCCCCACCTTTTATGTGGAGGAGCCAGAGAAAAAGCCGGTGGAGGGTCCTGAGTGGGTAGCTGCCCAAGGATCCCAACTGTCAGCACCAGGGCCTCCTGTGCCCTCAACAGAAACTAAATTTGAAACTTCTATAAAGGCATCTCTCTCAGGAGAGCGATCACTTGCTGGGCAAAGCTGCAACATCAATAGATATCACGTTTTCCATCTTCTAATGAGTTAAATTTACATAAATGGGACACTTACACAATTATTGTTTTCCCTTCATCAAATCTACTGATTTCTGGAAAGCTGCTGGAATTATTTTGCTTGATTCCATGAACAGATTCTCCCAAGGGAAAACGGAAAAAATGAAAACTGAGGAAGGAAGGAAGGAAGGAAGGAAGGAAGGAAGGAAGGAAGGAAGGAAGGACGGAAGGAAGGAAGGAAGGGAAGGCGCACCTAAGAGCCATTTTGACATTTTATAAAATTGAGCCTCCCTTTTGGGGCTTCCTCTATATATCACCAGTGGCTTGTAGTTTGAGAGGGAAAAATGAGGTTCCTTCTGTTTCTATAGTTTTTTAATAGTTGGAGGAAAATAAATCAGACCAACGAACACCCAGACTACACAGATTAAGACCTTCTAGATCTCATCTTCATCCATATCTTCCCAGGGCAATCCAATACATGTCTGCTTACAAGTCAGTGGGTACAGGATTGCGCTCTTCATATCATTTAAATAAAGCAGGTGTGGTGTGACCAGAAGTGTATGTATTTTGTACCTTTGGCCACAACATTGCAATTTCAAATGTAGATTGTGCTACTTGGAAATTTCAGTTGCATTTATGAGTGGAAAGCTCTCCATCAGCCCTCCCCAATCTGGGGTCCTCCAGAAATGTTGAACTCTGGTCAACGCTAGGTGTTGCAGTCTAACATACCATGTTGGGGAAGACTGCTTTCCACAAATCTAAACAATATGCAACGAGTGGGGCCTTACGGAGATAATAACCAGAGCTGATTACATTAAAAATCAATATTACAAGATGTAACAATAAACAACGCATTCATTTTTTGTTTTATTGGTATTTCTTAGTACCTTAATTTTGTAAACCATTTGTGGGCCTTTTTGAGGACTATGAGGCAATAAATAAATGATCTTACCAATTACAGTTGCAATCTTGTATACATGGGAATAAGTCTCATGTAA